CCTCCCACCTGCCTCCTCCCCACTGCAAACAGACTGATGGGTTCACAGCACAGAGCAGCAACTCAGAAAACATGTCCATCCACGTCCCATCCAGGCTTAGCGATGATGCAACACCCAGGTTAGCCGCTGGGGGTAAACACGGTACAAGGAAACCCAGTAAGCTGCCCCAGAAGATAGCCACGTGCAAGCATTCTCGCTCAGCTGCAGGGGTTGGTGCCGCACCGATAAATATCGAGAGATGCCCAGAGGGTGATTTCATTAAGCGAAATGTATTTTTGATGGTGTGATTGGTGAACCCTCCAGATCGAGTCTGTCCCTCATCCTACAGAGTGACGGAGAGAAAGGTGCCAATTATACATCCAAGGAAAAGACCTCTTTGCTCCTTACTTTAAACTTGAAGCATCGCCCTGTCTTTTCCTACCTGATTTCCTCCAACCCCAAGCCCAGAGAAATCCCATATATTCTGATTCCACATAGTGTGTGAAGGCCTAGAATACATCTTCATGTTGGGGGGGCAATCTTGCAAGCTAAAGTGTCCCTGTTAGTTACAAGTACTCTAGAGTGGTAAACATTTCAGATTGGAATTATTTTATCAAAACTGTATAGAGTGTGAGTTCCTAGGAAGTTAAAGATAAACTCAAATTGTTGAAACCTGGTGTATTTAATGTTGAACACTGAAAAAATTCTGTCATGACGGACTAAAAAGAGATGGTTTAGGAGCACATTTACCTTTAACTACTGATTACTAGCTTCTGTGTGGACTGAGAAAGAACAAGACAAATACTTTAATTCCCTTAGCTAAAAATATTTTCCTGAAATAAAAGTAGAGTAGGTCCATTAGAGAAAAATGAGAAAAGCACAGAAAAATATTACAAGAAATAAACATTATATGAAATACAGTTTTTTACATACTAATATAGTATCTGCTTTTTACACAAAAATATGGTTTGTTAAAACTGGAATTACACTGTGCATAATATTATGACTTATTATGAGTAACATGTATATCAAAATAATTATATTTTGATCAATTATCCATGCTACACAGATTTCTTCTAATATAATGTTATGTTCACATTCATTGTGCTAGTGGGTAGGAAAATCAATTTAGAAAGATGCAGACAACATTAAGAAAATAATTGAATATTATAGAATAGGTCAGGATATCTCAGACTGTGTTGCACATAATAAGGATAATTTTAGTTCTAAACACAGATAGTTTATATATTAGAGTTTAGTTCTATACAATACCATTAATGTAGTAACACACACAAACACGTATGCATTACTATGTCAAATGTGGGTGGCAAAAAATAAAGATGAAAACCACTACTCTAAAATCTAATTTTTAATCGTTGCGTAATAAATATTCTACCAGGTAGATATACCCTGATGCATTTAAGAAATTCACAACTGTGCATTCAGACTGTGTCTTCTGTTTGGCATTTATAAGATGCAACAGATACTCTTGCTTGGGTGTGAACACCTGGCTTTCTTAAAATAATTTATTAAAAGTTGAATGACTGATTGAAAGTGAGAGATTTTTTTGAAGGTTTGACACATTCTGTAACGTTCCGTTTGGGAAAAGTGTTAGCAATTACACTCCTATGAACTGTGTAGGAAATCACTTTCATGAGAAGAATGACCCGACGTTGGTACCGCTGGTAGTGCCAGCCCCAGATGAGTTATTCCTGTTGACATCGACCCTCTTATACACCTTGAGCTTCCTAAGAGGAATAGCCACGTCTCTCGATATGTGTGTCCTCTGATAGGGGGCAAAGTGCCTGTTGTCATTTTGTTGGAAGGAAATACAGTGGGGCCTTGACTTACGAGTGTCCCGACTAACGAGTTTTTCGAGATACGAGCCGTCCCTCAGCCGATTTTTTGCTTTGAGTTGCGAGCTAAAATTCGGGTTACGAGCCAGCTTCAGATACCCCACCGCTAGCTGGCGCAGCGAACGTCACAGTGAACGCCACAACACCAGCCCAGCATCACGTGTCTCACTCATTCACTT